CGGAAGAACTACTTTCTGATATTCCACTACATCAAAGTAAAGGTTCGGATAATGTTAATTTTTTTTCGGGACAGTTCAATTTTCATGAAATATCGTTTAACGACATGAGAAATGTCATTTCTACGCTTAAGAATACTTCCAGTAAAGATATTTATGGTTTGAATCCGAACATCATAAAAGTTATTCAAAACTTAATTATTATTCCCTTAGCTAAGCTGATTAATCAATGTATTGCTGTTCATATTTTCCCTGATTGCTTAAAAATAAGTAAAGTGGTACCTGTTTTCAAAAGGGGGTCAATTAATGAGGTCTCAAATTACAGACCAATCTCAATTACACCTGTTTTGGGTAAAATTTTCGAAATAGTTTTATATAACCAGTTAATTGCGTATCTTGAATCCAATAACCTCCTAAACGAGTCACAGTTTGGTTTTAGGAAAAATAAATCAACTACGTCAGCAATTTGCAAATTAGTTTCATATGTTAACGAATGTTTTGAAAACAAACATTATGCACAGGCATCCTTTTACGATCTTACGAAAGCATTTGATTGCGTATCTCATAACCAATTGTTAAATAAATTACAAAATTTTGACTTTGATGCTGGTTCTGTTAAGCTAGTTAAAGCTTATTTATCAAATCGATTGCAACAAGTAATTTAAAAAATAGACTATCTTCAAAATTATCTATTAAGTATGGAGTACCTCAAGGGTCTGTGCTGGACCCCGTACTTTTTTATTATTTATTAATGACTTAGCTGATAACGTTCCTGCGTCAAGTAACATTATATTATTTGCTGATGACACAACCACTGTGAATATAAGTGATAATTTGCCGGATCTTTTTAGTGAGGTGGTTGGATCTCAGGGTTGCATTTTTGACTGGTTTTCAGCTAGTCAGCTTAGCGTAAATGAATCTAAGACTCAGCGGTTACTCTTCTCTTTGCGCGCACTAGGTGATAATGTTGATAACCCTACTGTCAAATATCTAGGAGTTCATTTAGATCGTAAACTTACATGGGAAGAGCATGCAATACGAACAACTAGTAAATTAAACAAAATTATTTACTGTATTAGAAATTTAATTAATATCGTTCCAGTAAATACAGTAATGACAGCATACTATGGTTATTTTCATGCTCACTTATCATATGCCATTCTCGCTTGGGGTCATTCTGCACATGCTGCTCGGGTGTTTAGCGCTCAGAGACGATGTATCCGAGTGATTTCGAATTTAAAATTCTCTGAGTGTTGTAGAGCTAAATTTGTAGAGTTAAAAATCTTAACTCTACCTTGAATTTATATATTTAACTGTCTCCTTTACATTAAAAAAAATCTTCAGAAATTCAAAAGACATGATGAGGTCCATCATTATGGAACCAGACACCATGATAACTTCATGATTGATTATACTCGCACTGAAAGAGCTAGGGATGGCACTAATTATTATGGAATTAAATTTTTTAATTTGTTGCCTAATCCCATTAAATTACTTGATATTAATAATTTTAAATCAAAGATCAGGAATTACTTGTTAACGAGAGCATTCTACAGTGTGGATGAGTACTGTCTGAGCACTTTTGATGACCTAGTATAGGCCTTATCTCGCATGCCTTACTTGTCCGGATTTGTGCCGTCGTTTATTGTAGATGTAGTTTTAAGATGTTCTTAATGTTGTTAATTGACTAGCGGTAATGTTACATGTATTTTTTATTATTTTGTTTGTTATGTATTGTACGCTTTTCTGACTTGCGCAAATACTATTGTATGACGTCGCCAATAAAGGTTTATTATTATTATTATAAGAATTCTTTGATAATGAGCCAAACGCGCCAAATATATTAATTGAGTTTTTTAGAAAACCTCTGGCAAAGGTTTATTTTTCATTTATGCATTCCCAGGCTTTTTTTTTTCATAAGCAGACATTAAAAGTGGAAAAGTCTAACATCACTATTATTGAGGTCAAGAATCTCATTGACAATATGAAAAAAATGCTCCAAGAGAGTAAAGCCTCTAATTTTATTGGTATGATGGCTAAACAACTAATAAATGATCTGAGAAAAACTAAGCCTGAATTAGAGAATGATTTAAAAATATTTGAAAAGGACGTTGTAATGTTTTATGACAATGACATAGATCATATTGAGAAATTGACGACACAATTGGATCATTTCAAATCATTTAACTGGATACTTTTAACTAAAGTTCCGGAGTGGATTAATATAGAGGAGAGCATTTTTATATTTGAATGAAAAAGGGGCGTCTATCACTGGCGATGATTGTTTTCCTGAATTTGTTCATTAAAAAATACGTTGAAAGTGAAGAATGGGAAACAAAAAATGTCAGTGAAAGATGGGTGAAGGTTTTTGAAACTGAAACGCCATATGAGTTAACTCAATTCAAGAAAATTTGTCAATATGTTTTCAGTATACCCGGTCATAATGCATTTGTAGAACGTATATTTTCATTAATGACCGCTCAGTGGACTGACGAATGTAACCGCTTGGAAGTCGAAACAGTGGAGACTATTTTACAGTGCAAAGTTAATTTTAATATGAGTTGTGGAAATTTTCACAAATTCGTAAAAGGAAATCCCCAACTATTGTCCCAGGTTAAATCGTCTGATAAATATTTAAAATGATACATGTATTTGTTACCTATGTATATACCTATCTTGTAACTATTAAACTAATAAATTTTTTATGTGTACTTATGGCTACGGGTATATGTATTTACTTTTTCAACTACCAACCTCCTATATACTATCAGATTAAATTAAAAAATCAATTTCCTACATTTTCACCAGTATCTGGACGACTTTACCTACAAAAAAATCACTCTTCATCGAAATGTCCCGACGGAGTCTCGGGAAAATATGGCAACCCTATACTATCTGTACCAGGAAATTCTGTTGAAAAGGTCTTAACTTCTTTCAATTCATTTAATCCACACATACTGTTTACCCTAGAGAAGGAATTAGGACTCAGGACAATACAATTATATTTGATTGGTACACAAAATCTACCTTTTCAGGTAGATTCATACATTTCAGTTCTCTTCACAAGCTAAAACATAAGATCAACACTGTACTCGCTATGAAACATCGTATAACAAGTATTTCAGATCCAATGTTTATCAATGAAAATTAAGTAAAACTCAAAAACATTTTTCTAAATAATCAATATTCAGTGAAACTTCTTAACAAACTCATTTTTAATGTTCAACCTAACATCAATCAAGACCAAATTACACAAACCCCAGAAGAATCCTCTATCCAATACAAGAAAATTACCTTTGTTCCTGAATTAACTGGAAAGTTAATCAAAGTATTCAAAGACTTGAAGGGTTTAAAATTAATGAACATTACCCATACAAACTTCACTCAATCTTCTCATCCCTGAAGGATAAAATTTCAATCGAATATCAATCCGGTGTAATTTACCGTATTCTGTGTGGTGCTTGTTCCAAATGTTATGTGGGCCAAACCAAACAATGGCTCTAGAAACGTATATCACAACACAAAAGTGACATAAGGAATCAAAAAGGTGATTGTGCTTTAGCCAAACACACACTGGACACTGATCATAACTTTAATTTCGATGAAGTTAAAATATTGGATTCTGAAAACAACCTCTATAATAGAACCTTCTTAGAGATGTTTCACATTACTATTGAACATGACACAGTGAATTTTAGAACTGACATTGACTCACTCAGTAATATCTACTCATTAATCTTCGAATTATATAAAAACAAATCAGACCGTAGACATAATTAATGTTTGTTCACTTGTTTATATTTTTTAACTTGTAACTTTTAAATTTTTAAATTCAAATACTTCCAATTTAGCGCGCTATAAGCTTCACTTGTAGTGGCGCTGTTACTTGTCAACGGTTAACCGTTAATCTCACTCACTCAGAGTTAACCCACGTGGCAAGTAATGCCACTTAACTCAATTTTTACACGTGGTTTCCTTGACATGTTCAAAGTTTTCGCTAAATAATTACTTTGTATTTCTTAGTACGAACTCACTCTGAGGAAGCGTCGAAAATAGATGCGAAATATTGGTGAATCAATTAATTGCGATTTTATTGCCCACAATCCTTCCTGAGAATAATAATTATCCTTCGAAAAATTAAATACATCCGAGTACACTCCCCACACTACCTCGATATGTTACAGTTTTCAACCGATACCTTATCGTTATCACCTTATCACCGCCCTTTTATGCTACCCATTTCACAATTTATTAATTTAGATAATTTTCTTAATTTAACTTTGATTTTCTCCGTTTTCCATTTCGAAACCGTTATCTTAAATTCCAACAACGTTCCCTGACCGAATCATCAATAAATGAAAGTAATTAATAAAATTGCTAAATCACGAAAACATGTGCTCTCCGAAAAATTATTATCAAATAATTAAATAATTCCGAAATTAACAAATTTTCAAACAAGATACGACAAGCAACATGTTTCTATCAGTCCAGCCGACCGTCCCGAGGAAGTTTCAGCAACCAGCGAGCTACCGTATAGCGACCATTTTTTATGATGAGGAATTAGAAATCGTAGAACGATCAAACCGATTTCAAACATTTACAAATATCATGAAATAACAACCGTTGAACGAGTTTAAAGATGATCCACTTATTATTAACACGATTATTTACCGAAGTCATCCCACATCATAATTAATTAAATTATTCCGTTCCTGATGGTCATCCATGAAAAATATTGCCCATGTAGAATTGCTCCGACCATCGCCCAACTACTGTAATTGTTTTGTATTAAGGTGCGCGTAAATTAACCCATATATGCCTGCTGTCCTACATGTAGGACAGGCATTTATAGAGCCCTACTAAAGTTTTTCAGTGAAAACAACAGGTGACGCAATTTATAATCGTTTCTTGAATGTGTAGGCATCTACTATATATAATTTACCAAGGTGTCATTTGCATTTAAATGTTTTGAATAAGTGAGTAATTACCACGGTTTCTAAAAAATGGCGAGTTCGAGCAGTTCACTACCATCAAGGTAAGTGTTCTTCTAGATGCTCTTTTTTTGGGTACTTTTTCTTTTACAAATTACAAACCAATGAACATACAAATGTGTATACTTAACCTCAAACTGTACGCATCCGTGATGGCGTATTTGCAGTAGATTGAAACTCGGTGTACTACATGTAGGACAGCAGGCATATAGGTTAACTTTTCCCCACTTTCAGGGAACCGGATCCAATTACACCCAATATATTTTATTCACGAAAAAATATAAACAGGGGCAGACTTTGCGATTTGTTGTCACGAATTGAAGAAAATTCTACAAAAGCAGCGGATGTATATATACTACCTCCCGTAAATGCAACGGAATATATAACCGATGAAGACTCAGCGGAAGAAGATGAATGATCAATCAATAATTTACCTGGTAGCATTTTGAGACAAGAAGCAGAAGTAGAAGAAGTTGGGGAAAATTTAAGTGATAGCGACACTGATGAGGAAGAAAATATATCATTAGCAGAACTACAGAAGAGATTGAGAGTGCAACAGATTGGCAAGCGCAAGTGGCGTAAAAGAGACATCAATGCAGAGTTTCCCGACTGGAAAGCCACCAATAATAATGCAGAAACTACAGATGAAGCAAGCACTGCAATAGATTTTTTTGAACTATTTTTTGATGCAGAACTAGTTGATAAAATCGTTCTGGAAACGAATCGATATTCGCTGCAAAAAAAACGAGCTTTGAACGTTTGCACTGAAGAAATCAAATGTTTTATTGGTATTTTGCTCTATAGTGGCTATACCCAGGTTCCCAGAAGAAGGATGTTCTGGGAAAATGCTAGTGATGCACATCACGAAATTGTAATAAATGGCATGAAACGTGATCGATTTGAAGCTATCTTATCCCATTTTTATTTAGCCAACAACTATGAACTTGATGCGGAAGATAAATATGCTAAAATACGTCCATTAGTGACAATGATAAATGAGAAATTTTTATGTTATGCGCCTATTGAAGAGTACTACAGTTTTGACGAATCCATGTGCAAATATTTTGGACGCCACGGACTCAAGCAATTTATACGCGGCAAACCGATACGATTTGGGTTCAAGATTTGGTGTGGTGCAACACGATTAGGCTATGTTGTTAACGTTGATCCGTATCAAGGCAAAAACGGATATAAAGAAAAGGACGATCTAAATCTGGGTTTGGGAGGGCAGCTTGTTTATAAATTTGCTAAAATTTTAAAATCTCAAAATCCGAACCCATTTCATTTATTTTGTGACAACTTTTTCACTAGCATAAAATTGATTTCAGAGTTGCAAAAAATAGGAATAAGAGCTACAGGAACGATAAAAGAGAACAGGTCCGAGCATTGTCCTTTACTAACAAAACAGAATATGAAAAAGGAAAGCAGGGGTTTCTACGACTACAGAGTGGATGAATCACAAGAGCTAATAGTATGCAAATGGAATGACAATAATGTGGTCAGTTTGTGCTCTAATTCAGTTGGAATAAATCCAGTACATTCTACTACTCGTTTCTCCCGAGCAGAACGAAAACGCATTCAGATTGCCCAGCCACATCATCAAACTTTATAATGAAAATATGGGTGGAGTAGATAGGATGGATCAAAATGTCAGTAAATATAGGATCGCTATACATGGAAAAAAGTGGTATTGGTCTCTAATAACATTCTTCATTGATATGGCAGTAAATAATGCATTCCAGCTATATCGACAAAAATATAATGACCTTGATCTGCTTGCCTTCCGTCGTCGCATTGCTCGATTTTATATGGAGCATTACTCAAAAACTTCGAAAAAACGAAATTTACCTTGTCAAGTAACCACGGAAACTCGGTACGATGGCTTATATCACTTTGTTTGTCCGCAAGAAAATCAAACACGTTGTGGCTTATGTCATACCAAATGTACCACACGCTGCGTCAAGTGTAACAAAGGTGTTCATGTTAAGTGTTTTATCAGTTACCATACAAAATGTAATACAATATAAATAAAAATAGTATATAAAATGTTCATACAAGTGCCTAGTGTCCTATATGTAGTACACATTGTAACACTAAGTTGGAAAATATATTGTTTTGCAAAAATGTTACTAGCGTGTTCTTCTTGACCATTATGATTATTAAAAAACATTTTTGCGCAAAAACAAACATTGATACGGTTTCAGGCATATATGGGTTAATAAGGGTTTTAACGTGAACCACGTGGTCGGGAAAATGTTTGTGTATATAAGTGCCGTAAACAGTGACCGATTTTGTTAATAATATTTTTATGATTTTCCGTATAAGTAAGGGTATCTTTTGATTTGTATTATAAATTTTTCCGTTAATTACTGTTGATTAATTGTTAATTACTCCGCCGTTTCTTAACCGATTTTATCCGTTCAAAGACTGTAATTATGTAATTTTGTGTCCCGCATCCGATGGCACCCTCAGATTTTGCTATTTTTATTAATTACCGTCGCGCATTGTAAATTAGTTTTTGATAACTTGTATTGATACAATCCCCCACTCGGAAAAATCCAGTTTTCACCCCGAAACAGTATAAATAGCCGGCCAAAATTATGATTTTTAATCAGTTTTATGACCGTCTTCGACAGTTTTACAATAATCTTCATCGAAAGTTACTTTTCGAAATACCCGTATTTCAAATTTACCGTAAGTCCCATTTATTTGGAAAGACTTTGATTTTATTTTTGTTAACATTCATTAATTTTTGTACATTTTGTCCCAACCTTAGTACTCTTGGAAGGTTCTTCGAGTACTCCGTTCCTTTACACCTTAGGAAGGTATCTCCGCCTCATTTTTTTGTTTGTTTCAATTAAGCTCATTTATTACAGAATCAAAGTCTTGTTAATTTATTCCCACCGTCCCCATTCTTCGACCGTGGTTAAAAATTAATAAATCCTCTCCTATTTGATTATTTTATTGTTAATAAAGTTTATGGTTATATGCAAATTGAAATATGCGTAAACAATTTGATAAAGATAGGCTTACGAGTTCGTTGTATTGTAACGGATATGGGGAGCAATTTTGTGCAGTTGCATAAACTGTTAGGCATTACAGCTGAGAGGCCGTGGATTTCATTAAATGAAATAGAATAATCACCAAAAACACCATTTTATTTTTGACGAACAAAAAATATCATGGAGTACAATTTTATAATACTGATGTTTTACAAAGAAACAGATTGGCACCTAAGCTTACGCAAGCGCATATACACCCGACTAATTTTCAGAAGATGAAAGTTAAATTGGCGGCTCAGGTAATAAGCCATATGGTGGCAAGTGAGTTGGAGGTGGACATGTGTGATAGTACGAGTGTATACAGTGAAAATTTTGAAAAAATGGATAGGCCGATAGATTTAAAGTTGGTTGGGTGAGTAATAGTGTGTAAAATACATGGAAAACGTTTAACTGCTGTTGAATTTTATATAACTGTAACCCATGTTTGGGTTAACCTACTAGTTATGAATTTATTTGGTTATGGATGCCCATTTTGATATTTGATTTGGGTGTNAGACACTGGCATTGCACCTCAAGATCAACGAGGGAAACATAGTGTCAATCATCGAAAACTAAAAGAGGAATATTTTGAGGCTGTTTGGGGACATATAAATTCATTTAGAGCAAGACAATCTCACTATAGTCTAACGGATTAAAAAAAAAAATATCTTCCGGAAGAATTAAACATTACGAAAATGTTTAGAATGTTTCAACAAAAGAATCCCAATGTCAACGTTTCATATGATACATACAAACATATATTTAATACAAAATTCAATTTGTCATTCGGGTATCCAAGAACAGATACCTGTTCTACATGCGATAAGTTTCATGCCATATTAAGAACATTATCCACCGATAGCAATGCTGACGAACTCAAACAGCTCACCTTGGCCAATGAAATACACAAAAGAAAGGCTCAAACTTTTTATGATCGAAAAAAGAATGCTCGCCTAAATGCAAAACGACGACCTGATTTTCTTGCAATTGCGATGGACTTCCAGAAGAACATATCATTACCAAAAGTCTCCACGAATGACGTATACTATCGAAGACAATTGTCAATGCTTTCGTTCAATATTCACGTTTTGCACTCAAGAGAATCTATTTTCTACACGTATCCAGAGACCATCTCGAAGAAAAGCCCCAATGAAGTTGTATCCTTTTTAGTACATTTTTTATTTAACCATGTTCCTGATACAGTAAAGCATTTGCACATTTTTTGTGACGGTGCCGGTGGGCAAAACAAAAATTTTATTGTATTCAGGTTCATGCATTATGTAGTAAAAAACATGACATAAAAAAACTAAGCAGCATTAAAATAACTTTTCCGGAAAGGGGGCATTCATATTTGGAATGCGACAAAATATGGGCAACATAAATTTAAAAACGAAAATTGAAACTCCAGATGATTGGTTTGGACTGTTAAGGGTATCAGGCACCAAACCGTCATCATTCGTTATCGAAGAAGTCACTCAAAATATGGTAATGGGCTGGACTTCGTTTTTACAGAACCTGTATGTGAAGAAATGTCCATTTCCTGTACAAAAAACCAAAGAAGTGTTCTGTACAATCGATCATTGTCGATTTATACTTAACAGAGATACATACAATGGTTCTTGGAAAAAAAGTGTAATAAAGGGAAAAATTCAGATGGAAGCAGCCACTTTACTGCCAAATGAATTCAAATTACCAGATAAACTATACAATGGTGAGCATGCATAAAACTGACTTGTATGACCGGTAAATACATATTTTTTATAAACATATTTTTAATAGGATAGCGACCAAGCAAAAAATAAAATTTATACTAATTTTTCTCTTACGAAATTCAAATTTGGAAACCACAGATGGACAAAGCTGCATCTACGATACCAACCCATCTGTGGTTTCCTAATTTGAACTTCGTAAGAGAAAGAATAGTATAAATTTTATTTTTTGATTGGTCGCTGTCCTATTAAAAATATGTTTGTATATTCACGACCATGAATGTCGATAAACGTTCATATTTTTTATATTCGTTGCAGATCTTATTCCAGTAAATAAAGATAAGTTTAAGGATTTAATGGTGCTGAAGCAATTCTGTGGCCCAGTTGCTGTCAAGTTTTTTACCGATCTACCGCATGAATAGGGGACATTCCTCGTTTTTTTCACATTTGTAATACCTTCGAATTAGTTTTATTTTATTATCAGATACACTGACGAAAAATATTTGTATTTACATGTTGAGACGACATACAATAAACATATAGTAATATTTATTTAAATTATTTGTGGTTACTGCAAAACCAAATCGCTAAGTAGATTGCGTTACTCCGTTGTTAGTCTAAAGGACATACCTTGTTCTTTCCCCATACCCCTCATATTTTATATTGTAATAATATCACTTATGATAGCATGAAGAGGTGGCGTTAATATCAAAAAATAAAAAGTCATGGAAACAAAAAAAAAAAGTAGTAAATAAACGTAAAAAAGTGTTGTCCGATTTTTGAATTAACGAATTTCTGTTTGAACCTGCTCCCGAAAAATTCTGTTATGTATTTAAAAATTGTGTTTTGATATAAAATACACGTACATCACAATATGTATAATAATATATTGTATTTTTTTGTTATATAGGAGTATTATATTTTATTATATTGATTTTTGATTTTATTATATTAAAATGGTTTGCGATATATTTCAATATATATAGATTATATATAACTTACTATCAATATATAATTTTAATTTCTTATGAGGTTCGACTTATCGTTCCACTGTATTACCAAAGTAATACAGTAATTATTAGTAATTATTTTCATTTACTACAGGAATTGTGTAAAGTAAATGGATTGCTTATACTTATTTATTTTCTTAATTTTTCTTTGTGATTCAGTCATCTTGGCCATAAATCACATCACCCCGCTAGCCTGATCGGAACTTTTACAACACCACAGAGCAGGTAAAACCTGAATTGAATGCCTCGTGAACGTAGGTCGTTTCTAGTAGAATTTTATGCCTCTACGATCGGCTTTTTTCGCATTATATCTGAACAGAACTGTACATATATGCCCCGGCATGTGAATGTTTGTTATAAATCGATGCCGGCACAATTATTAAACAATATTATTACAAAATTATTTAATGCTAATGATATTAAAACAGTGGATTACATAATTAAGAAAATGGTTCTAAAAAAATTGTTGTAGACAATGCAAAAGAAAATGTGAATGGTATAGGACATAACAAAAAAGTAATATTGTTGACGTTTTATTAAAAGATGATATATATAATATATATATCATATAAATATATAAAAATATATATATATAAAACATGTAGGGCAAACATGAACTGAACTAGAAGTAGCAGTGCACATGTGGAATGTTATTTTGGTATCTGAAAAATAAGATATTACAGGGCAATTTATACCTGAAAAACTCACGTTTTATTCGTACAAGGAAACCGAATATAAAATACCAAAAACTTTTCAACAGAGAAGGAAAATAAAATTAGTAGAGAAAAGGAATCGACTTCGTTAGAAAAATGTTGTAAGAGGAAAAAATTAAAACAAACCTGTTTCAAAAAA